AGGATGGGATGGCAGTGGGGGTGGGGATGGGGAAGGATAGGATAGTCTGGGATGGGATGGAGTAGAATGGGATGACAGTAGGATGGGGATGGGGAAGGGATGGCAATGGGGTGGGAATGGGGAAGGACAGGTTAGACTGGGATGGGATGGGGATGAAGGTGGAGAAGGATAGGATAGGCTGGGATAGGATGGAGTGTGGTGAGATGGTGCAGGAGAGGGACAGAACAGAGTGGAATGAAGCAGATGAAGCAGGCCAGGGTGGGATAGGATGGGGATGGGACTGCATGGGATGCAGTGGAGTAGGATGGGTTGGGATACAATGAGATGGGATAGGATGGGATGGCACCCCTCAGCATCCCACCAGCCCAACCCACTGTGATGTAGGGATCGTGGAGCTGCAGGCCATAGAGTGTCCAGCTGCTGGAGGCCACGAGGGTGGTGACGGTCAGGGGAAAGGACAGGCACCGCGTTGACTTGCTCCGGATAACCTTGGCCTGCAGGAGCAAACGTCAGGCGGGGCCTGGGCTGGCAAGCCCCAGCTCTGCCAAGCCCCACACACCAGGTCAGCCAGCGGTGAGAGGTACATGCTGATGGTGAAGATGCTGCAGAAGAGCCCCAGGTGTGCCAGGCGTGTCCCTGTGTCAACCAGGATGGTGAAGTAGCCACAGCCGGTCACCACCACAGCCAGGAGCAGCAGGATCTGAAGCAGCACAGGGCGCTGGGAGGGACAGCAGGGGGATGTCAGGGTGAGGGTCCCCCATCCTCCCCACAACCCCAGGCTCCTGTCCCACCTTGGCAGGGCTGTAGTAGAGATACACCAGGATGTAGAGGGTCTGCAGAGCTGCCCCGATGGCGTTGACAGTGATCACTGTGCCGTCCCCCTTCAGGCAGCCATAGCCCAGCCAGCTCAGGTTGCTGCAGGGATAGGGCATAGGCACTGAGGGATCCCCCCGGCCCCTCAAATCCGTATGACCCCCCTCCCCATGACCCAACCCTGCCGTACTTGGCATCGGTGGTGAGGAAGGGCAGGAACTGGATGTTCTCCACACTTTTGGTCGCCAACATCTGGCGCAGGTCAGACCTGGGGAGGGCGGAGGGCAGCGTCCTCCTGGGTGCCTGGCAGTGCTGAGGTGGGGGAGGCTCCAGTCTCTGCAGCCAGCAGGCACTGCACCCCCCCCACT